CACCACTAGGAAGCAAATCCAGGACAAGAGCGAAGAGCTCCGCCAGCTCGTCGGCAACCGTTACCGTGATCTCATCGACTCCGCAGACTCCATTGTTGCCATGAAGTCGTCTTGCGAGTCCATCTCCGCCAACATTTCTGCCATCCACGATGCCATCCTTCACTCCCTCTCCTCCCCTGACACTGCCCCACGTGCCTCCTCCTTTGTCCCCGCTCGGGCTCCTGCCTATGGAATGGCCTGCAGGGTCAAGTACCTTGTCGACACCCCGGAAAACATTTGGGGCTGCCTTGATGAATCCATGTTCCTTGAGTCCTCTGCCCGCTACATCCGGGCAAAGCTCGTGCACTCCAACCTGCTAGCCTCCAAGGACAGCAAGAACGTGCTCTCTAGTTTCCCTCTTCTTCAGCACCAATGGCAGATAGTCGAGGGTTTCAAGGCCCAGATCTCGCAGAGGAGTCGAGAACGGCTTTTGGACCAGACAATTGGTCACGGGATAAACGCTTATGCGGATGCCTTGGCTGCTGTAGCCATCACGGACGAGCTCGAACCGAAGCAGGTCTTGACTATGTTCATAGAGTCGAGAAAATCGATCATTTGGCAGAAGCTTAGCGCGTGTGGCCGTGATGATGGTGCTGGCAGTTCTGGAGTGATCTCCACCTTGTGTGATATCCTGAAGATAATTCAGATCACGGTGTGTCAGGTGGGCGAATTGTTCCTGCAGGTACTGAATGATATGCCTTTGTTCTATAAGACCATTCTGGACACTCCTCCGGCTTTCCAGTTATTCGGAGGAGTACCTAACCCGGATGACGAGGTGAAGCTGTGGAATTTGTTTAAGGACAAGTTGGAGTCTGACATGGTGTTGCTGGGCAGGGATTTTATTTCAGGGACTTGTTCCGACTGGCTTAGGAACTGCGGCAAGGAGATTACTAGCAAGATCGGTGGTAGGCACTTGATAGATGTGGTCACGAGTGGCTCCGAGCTTTCTCTGGCCGAGAAGTTGATAAGGGAGACCATGGACAGCAAACAGGTCTTGGAAGGTAGCTTGGAGTGGCTGAAGAGTGTTTTCGGTTCAGAGATTGAGCTGCCGTGGAAAAGGACTCGCGAGCTTGTGCTGGGTGAGGACTCTGATATATGGGACGATATCTTTGAGGATGCTTTTGCTCAGAGGATGAAAGGGATTATAGATGCGCAATTTGACAAGTTGCGGAGAGTTGTTGATGTGGCGGATTCAGTCCAATCAATAGCAAACCCTCTAGCGGATCTTGCTGGTTCTGAAGATTACCTGAATAGATTTCAAAGTAGTGGTGGGGTTTGGTTCGTGAATCCCAATGGGAAGAAGTTAGGTTCTATTCCTGGAACGAAATTGCACCAGCCTCAAGAAAATGATTTTGCAAGCTGTCTCAGCACTTATTTTGGCCCTGAAGTGAGCCGGATAAAAGATGCCGTGGATACTTGTTGTCATAATGTTCTCAAGGATCTCCTCAGTTTCATGGAATCACCAAACGCGCCACGTAGGCTGAGGGATTTGGCGCCGTATGTACAAAACAAGTGTAGTGAAAGTCTGTCGGCCATCTTAAAACAGCTCAAGGATGAACTCGACAGCCTATACAGTGATCTAGAAAATGAGAATAAAGATGAGAAGTCTTCACTTTCTTCTGCTATACTCATTGAGCGGTCATTATTTGTTGGGAGACTTCTCTTTGCATTTCAGAAGCACGCTAGACATATACCCATAATACTTGGTTCTCCGAGGTCATGGGTGAGTGAAGTTTCAGCTGCTACTTCATCCCTGATTGGCTTGAAGAATGAAAGGGTGGCCAGTGACTCAAAAATGATTGATATTCATGGGAGAAGAATGCTTGATTCCAGCACGAAACACGCTTCACTAGTGACTGGTGCGCTATTCCGAGCGGATGACAAGTTGAGCCCACATCTTGAAGAATTAAGGCAGACAACCAAAGATCTTTGCATGAGAGCTTACAATCTGTGGATATCATGGGTTGCTGGTGAACTTTCAAATATTTTTTCAAGAAATCTAAAACGGGATGATGCCTTGTCATCCACTGCTCCAGTCAGAGTAAGGATTTTACTATTTTTATAACTTGAATCCTTTTCTGCTGGTCTGCTAACCCCTTACCCCCTCCCCATATGTATCATGAAGTATTTTTTGTTATTCTTGTTCCTGATTGTACTTTCTGATGATTACTGCTTACATGCATGATGCATAACTTATATACCCATGTGCAGCTACAACTCGTTAGTTGTACACCCTAGGAAATATTATAAAGTTAGATGAGATTGTCTTTACTTGATGCCTGTGTAAGCCAATGTTAGCTTGCTTTGCAGATTCAGGAACAATAAAAATGTCTGTTGTCTCTAAATTATCTTAAATTACTGGACAGGGTTGGGAGGAGACAGTGGTCAAGCAGCAAGAACAATCAAGTGATGGCCAGTCAGAGATGAAGATATCTCTTCCTTCAATGCCTTCTCTATATGTGACTTCATGTTTATTTTATGCATGTGAAGAGATTCATCGTGTTGGTGGGCATGTACTTGATGTAGCAATTCTGCAGAACTATGCCAAAACGCTTATTGATAAGGTGCGTTCTGACCTTTTTTGGGGGACAATTCTGGATATGACTTTATGTAGGAGGACCTGGGTGATTACAAAATTTGGGAGACAAAATTTGTGTATCAATCAAATGACTCATCTGTGTCATTCTGCTGTTTTACAAAAATTACTTTCCTATTCAACAACTGTTATCCAGCCACCCACTTGAATACATAAGGGTTATGCTTGTGTAGGTTCTTGGGATTTATGATGACTTCCTGTCAACTGAAGTTCTTATGTCGCAAGTTTCAGAGAAAGGTGTTCTACAAATGTTATTCGATTTGAAATTTGCTTCTGATATCCTGTCTGGGGGTGATTTCCATGCAAATAAGGAGGCATCTGAAATCACAAGCGTGAAATCCCCTTATAGGAGGAAGCAGAAAGCTCAGTCACAAAATTCGTTAATGGGACAACGCACTAAGGAATTGGTGAATCTCCTTTCACAGAGACTTGATCCCATAGATTGGCTCACGTAAGTTGTTAAACCTAGATAGTGATCTTTCTTCTTTAGAGATCTTGGTTTTCTTTGGAAAACAACATTTTGCATTTACACCGCCCGATAAAATCTCGGCTGACTATGTTTGAGGTTATGACCAGGTTCTCTTTGCCTTTTTATGTTTTAACTGTCTATTTCATTACTACTATCAAACGAATGTAAGTTTCAGAATAGAAGTTAGGAAATAAAATCTATGCAGGTGAGATAATGTTGCCAGCAGTTTTCATATAGGGACAACATTTTCTAGCATTCTAGCATCCTTCTATTTCTGGCCCCATATTCTGGTTTTGTGAGTTAGTCTTGGTGAGGTACTCCTGCAAATGGTTTGAGTTATAGTTGAATTCCTTAATTAAACTCTAGTTTCAGCATTAGTAATCATGAATAGAAGCTAGTTTCACTACTACAACATAGCCTTTTAGTCCCAAACAAGTTGGGGTAGGCTAGAGATGAAACCCAAGAGAACCAATGGTAAGAGAAACACAAAAAGGGTAAAAAAACAAAAGGAAGAGATTGGAGCAAAAGTCACGGTTCTGGCATGTTGATTGCTAGCCTCCAAGCGCTCCTATCCACAGCTAAATCCTTGGAGATATTCCAGTCTTTAAGGTCTCTCTTAACCGACTCTTCCCAAGTGAGTTTAGGCCGACCTCTACCTCTTTTTACATCATCGACCCGTTGTAGAACTCCCATACGCACCGGTGCATCGGGAGGCCTCTGTTGGATATGTCCGAACCACCTCAGCCGATGTTGAACCAATTTCTCCTCAATTGGAGCCACCCCGACCCTATCTCGAATATCCTCATTCCAGATTCTATCCCTTCTTGTGTGCCCGCAAAACCAACGCAACATACGCATTTCTGCTACACTTAGTTGTTGGACATGTTGCCTTTTTGTAGGCCAGCATTTAGCACCGTATAGCATCGCCGGGCAAATCGCCGTCCTATAGAAATATAATTGTAAAGTAGAAATAATCATCTTTTGTTCATCCCATTCAACATGGAAATATTTAGATTTTCATTGCAACCCAGTGACTTTATGGATGGTTAAGATTTAACAGTAGAATAAATCTGAGTCACCACTGGGCAATTTTTAAGAGAACCTGCCCTTTGCAATCGTGCTGTTATCTAGATTCTGGTATTACTTTGCCTCCTGTGCTACATTTTTTTTTCCCCAAATAGGAATACCTTCTGCTGCCAAGTACATTGTGCTGTTATGCCCTTTTACTTATTATTTTCTTTTTTTATCTTATGCATCCAAGGTATGAGCCATATCTTTGGGAGAACGAGAGACAGGCATACCTTAGGCATAGTGTCCTCTTTGGTTTCTTTGTGCAACTTAATAGAATACACACAGACACTGTACAGAAGCTCCCCACTAACTCCGAATCAAACATCATGCGCTGTTCTGTAGTGCCTCGGTTCAAATACCTTCCCATCAGGTAGTAACCACTATCCTTCACGATAAATGTTTCTTAGCATGTGTTTTAACTTTAAGGTATCATATTTTTCACATTAATCCTAGTTCAATTGCTTTATCCAAAGTGCTCCAGCCTTATCCATAAGGAATGTAGCCAGAACATCTGTGCCGACGTCCGTGGATGATGCTTACTCGAGAAATTCCTGGAGAAGTTACAAAAGTGACGAGGTGTCTCGAAGTTCTGATGTCGATGAGGACTCAAGTTTAGGGGTGGCCGCACCCTTTTTGAAGTCCTTTATGCAGGTAGTGTTTTGTAAATTCTGTTCTCATGTCAATTGGAAGTGGGAACTTTCATCACATCTCTTCATATCATTTTTTAATGGAGTTCCGTGCCATGATTTCCCATGAAATGAACAAATTGTGCATTGAATATGGCTCTGGCCTGGCAATCTTGGCTCGATTTGTGTTATGATGGGAGACCAAACAATATGTAATCTCATTTAATCAGAAATCTTGATTTTATGAATGTGGACTTGCCTTTACAGAAATTAACTTTTATTCTCTAGATTTTAAACCTGTTATCGAACATCTTCAGGTCGGTAGCAGATTTGGGGAGAGCACACTAAGGCTGGGGTCGATATTAACTGATGGGCAAGTTGGAAGATTTGGGGACATATTACCTGCTCAGGCAGCTGGACTTCTTTCATCATTAACTGCTGCTAGAACAGATTCTTGATCAGCGCACTTTACCACAGCCCATTAAAACAGGGGCTTATTTTTCCATATTGTTCATGCTTCGAGGCATGAGCATCGTAAATTCAGCTGAGCAGCTGTTTTGGTAATTATCTATGACAAATCCCTGAATGTTTACAACGAAAAGTAGCTATCTTTCAAATATTGTTCGTGTTTTCTTTAAACAGATTACTCGTATGCACTTAACTCTTAAAAAAGATATGCTTTGGTTGAAAAAACTGTTATTGCCCTGGGATAAATTGCTTTGTTATTTCTGTTTTGCAGTGTTTTCAGATTTGAGTGTATTGCCTACACCTTTGGTGCTGTATATCACGTGTTGGGAAATCGAAGCACGAAAGGGAAAAGCTGAACGAGTCCCTAAAGCTCGTTTTAAGCCACATTTTTTTTTTGAGCGCCTTGAAGAAATCTTGTCCTGCTGAAGCTGAGGCATGAATAGATTCTATACTTAGTGTTTTTGGAAGCGTGAGCTGTTTTAATGATTTTCACAGAGTATTATTATAATTTTAAATTACGGACATACATTATCAACGTGTTCGAGCTAAAATGTATTTTGCCTCCTGTAAGATGTGTGCTATATTTTGACTTGTGGATATTCATACTCTTTGTTTATTATTTTAAATTAACTTTGATACAAAAAAAAAAAATAATAATAATAATAAATAATGATAAAAAAATTAAAAATAAAAAAACTAATTATATATATTGTCGTACATACTTATTATTAATAAATATCTATAATTAAATACAATAATAAATATCAAAATTATATTATTATTAGAAGATCAATGAAGTATTTTCTAAAACATTACCAAAATTGTAGTAAATTCTCTGTATCTAATCCACGTCGTAAACATGAAGTTCTTAATTTATTTATATTATTTCATCCAAAACTGATATATCTTGGTTCTACTATAAATTAATAAAGATGAAAAGGTATATTAGGTAAGTTAGCATTTGAAGAACATAAAATTAGTTAATATACTAAATGAGTTTGATTATTAATAATTGTGTAATCATATTAATTGAGCAAACTCTTTAACAACAATGGTATATTAACGTTAAGTTAGGCCTTAAAGTTTAACAAACTAATGTCTATCTATCTTAGGTGCCTTATTCTGTTTCTTTGTTTTTTTGGGCGTTAATTCTCAATATGATTCTCCTTATGAACATCATTAGATAGGAGGTCTACACATGTCCAGTTTCAGTGTGCTTGTTTAATAATATATGAAATATATAAATTATTATATTGATTTTTTATGAATTAAATAAATTCTTATATGGAATTTATTTGTCTGTTTAATTTGGAATGTTAAGACAAAATATATGAAAATATTACCAAACTTATTAATAAAACGATGAATCAATAGCTATCCAATGAAATGCCATTTTAGGTTGGTTTGGTCTATTTATTACTGGTGTGGATTCTCCAAATTAATTTTGAAAATGTGGTATGATTTGTTGTTAATAGTTATATTAAAATAATATTTAAAATTA